CAAATGATTATTAGAGTTCAAGATTAAAATGGGACCTAAGATTATTTATCCATCTGGTATTTCTTCATAACAATAAAATTATCTCTTTTCATGAATGTCTTTAATAAAAATAAGTGCTGATATAGGGACATAAAAATATTTGAACAATTTTTCTCAAATCATGAACAATTGTTTAGTTAAATTAATTATTCAATCTCTTATTATAATCAATAAAACTCAATTTTAAGTACCAATATGGTATATTTCTATCTTTTTTACAATAAACCATCCATTTATTGTGCAAACTTCAAATTCTTGCACTATTTTATTTAAGTTTTACATTTAAGTTAGCTCTTTCAAGCATTACCCAAGTAACAAATCAATTAAATGATGGCCAATCACTAGGAAGCATTAAGAGAACAGATAAATCATTAATCACAAAAAGAAAGGTGAAAAATATTGATATTTCAAATAATTCTAGAGCAAAGTGTTTGGCAACTCATAATTATTCATAAACTACAAATACACAAAATATTTTGACCCATATTAGAATATAAAGAAAACAAGGAAGAAGAATTGAAAAACTAAAGAAAAAGAAGCTCTAAATATCTTCAAAACTTCAATTCATTGCTCCAAAGTTCTCCAATACCCAAACCTTAGCATACAAAGCTCCAAATAATGGCTCAAATTTTAAATTATAAGTCCTAGGCTGAGCAAGCACTATTATAAAAATTATCTTTTGGAGTACATCTTCTAGAGCACTAATGTAAAAAAGTGCTGTGAAAGTGTGCAGAACATAATTGAGCGATTTTATTAAAAGCTCTTCGGTGAGGTAGCCTTTAGGTGGGCTTCAGAAGTAGAGTGCTCCTAAAGGAAAAAATTATTAAAAAATTAAAACAACTAGGAGTGCTCCTATTAGTTTAAATTTAAAAAAATGAAAAATTAAAAGATCTTCAACCGAGCGCTCCTAAAGGGCAATATTTTGGAGTGCTTTCAAAGCCTTTATCTGTAGGAGCGCTCCGCTCAAAAAATAAAAGCTCCGAAAGATGAATTTAAAAAATTTTAAAAATTTTGACCTGCAGCGATGTTATATCAAAGAGCGCTCATAAAAATTCAACATTTCAAAGCACTTCGAAAGCCCTTAAATTAAAAATAAATTAAAATATTTATAAGATAACTTTAAAAATATATTTGTTGTTCTAAAATATAAAATAATTGAATAATAATTTTCTAATATTATTCTTTAAGTAGAGAGAGAATTGAAATAATTATAGTGTAATGTTAAATGTGTAGATTTAAAGTTATATTAAATAAGAAGCATTTTTGAAAAAATATATTTTTGTTTTGGAAAAATATATGAAATTTTAAAATATCATTATTAAAATTTATTGGTATGTGTAATATTATCCCAAATTATCTTATAATTTAAAATTGAAAGAGTAATAAATTATGACAAACTATGCACTTTTTTCTTTTTATTGTAATGAATCAGTGGAACATAATAGAGAACTCCAAGGATCCTTCCAAAAAAAAAAAAAATTAGAGAACTCTAAGGTGAACGTAGCGTTAAGAACGACTCTAGGCAAGTATATGAATGATTGGTGAATAAAAATGTCATGTGAGTCGAGTTTAGTTCTCACATGAACTTTTCATCCAAATATTTGCTGACTATAAAAAATGTAAAAAGGGTCTTGTCATAAGAATCAATGAATAGAGTTTTATAATTAAATGGCTCGTGAGAAAGGGCATACGATAAGGTTTTGAAGATTCTCCTGAAGACAGAATTTTAATGACCAAGGTAAACTCATATATGTGGGGACAACAAAACAGCCTAAAGCAGGCGTCCTATATTTACATGCATCATCTAAATTATTTTACTTTGTGCCAATCAAATCTTGTTTACTTTAACATTAATATTTCCAAAGGAAATGAAATTAATGTGATCGCCTCTCTTTATTTATATGGATACGTTTACTTATTCATGGAGGGTCCCTCACTGGCCTGGCCACCAGAGACCCGTCTATTAAAAAACAAGAATACCACGTCAATCATGTTGCTCCCTTAGTAAACAAATAATACATGTATAGTATTAATTAAGATGCTTTGTTTTATTGCAACAAATAATAAAACGTGTTTATTTGTTACTGCTGATTAAAAAAAAGTTGAAATCAATCAATTCAGTTCCTAAGTCCAGACAATGTGTACGTAAATTAAATTAAAGGAAAAATTACAATCAAGAATTACTGAACAACATTTATTGCTTTATAGGAGCAAATAATTCTGATATTATTTTGTAGAATTAAGGAACCTAAATGTAATTAAAATTTGTTATAAAAAGATAAAACTACCCTTATATATGGTCTTTTAACAGGAAAAACAAGTCTCATTTTTATTTTAATAATAATTAATTTCATCATTAACAATTTCAAAAAATTAGCTCAACAATAAAGAAGAACAAGTGTTGTGACTTAGTGAACAAGTCCCTATTCATGAAAAAAATAATTTTATTTTTATTTCAACAATAATCAATTTCTTCATTAACAACTCTAAAATATTAACTTGGTGGTAGAGAGAAAGTGTTGTGAATTGGTGAACAAGTCTTCATTTTAAAAAAAATAAATTTTATTTTTATTTTAACAATAATTAATTCCATTATCACAACATATATATATATATATATATGAGGGAGAGTTTTTTTTCTTTTCATAATAAATTTTAAGTGCATTTGGGTCCCTTGGACCTGGAGAGAAAAATCACAATTATTTAGTCTTGCAGAGTAATACATATTATTTAGTGGTCCGTAGTTGTGATATTCCCTAAATTAAACTATTTTAATCTGTCCAAATCAATTCTTAATTAACGACTCTGACATATGACATTATCTTTATCTGACCCCCTATTATTATTATGAAATACAACGTTTTAATTACATTTACTTATTATGGAGGGTCCCTCACTGGCCTGGCTGCCGGAGACTTGTCTATTAAAAAAACAAGAATGCCACGTCAATCATGTTGTTTCCTCAGTAAACAAATAGTACATAGTATTAATTAAGCTGTTTTGTTTTATTGCAAAAAATAATAAAACGTTTTCTTATTTGTTACTGTTGATTTAAAAAGTTGAAATCAATCAATTCAGAACCGAACTCCAGACAATGTGTGCGTAAATTAAATTAAAGGAAAATTATAATCAAGAACTGCTGAACAACATTTCTTACTATGTTGAACCAAATAATTTTTATATTACTGGTTAAGCAATCTAAATAAAATTAAAATTTATTGTGACAAGATAAAACTACATGTTATATATTGTCTTTTAACAAGTTCACTTTCAGAAAAAAAAAGTTTTATTTTCATTTTAATAACAATTAATTTCATCATTAATAACTTAAAAAAATTAACTCGATGATAGATAGAAATAAGTGTTATGATTTGATGAACAAGTTTTTATTCATTAGAAAAATAAATTTTATTTTTATTTTAACAACAATTAATTTTTTCATTAACAACTCTAAAATATTAACTTGGTGGTAGAAAGAAAGTGTTGTGATTTGGTGAATAAGTCTTTATTAAAAAAAACTAATTTCATTTTTATTTTAACAATATTTCTATTTTAACAATAATCAATTCCACTATTATAGTGTGTGTGTGTGGTAGTTTTCTCTTTTCATAATAAATTTTTGCTACATTTGAGTCCCTTGATCTTGCAGAGAAAAATCAAAATTATTTAGTCTTGCAGAATAATAAATGTTATTCAGTGGTCCGTAGTTGTGATTTTCCTTAAATTAAACTATTTTAATCATGTCCAACTCAATTCTTAATTTGTGACTCTGACATATGACATTATATCTAAGAAGTAATCAATGATAATTTATAAAACCACATGTTATTATTATGAAATGTAAGGTTGTCAAACTCCCGGGACATTATCTCCACTCATGATATAAATGTAAATTTAAATTGCAAATTTGTAAGATTGTATATTTATTAATAAATATTTATTAAAAATATATAATTAAATAATAAAAATATAAAATATGTCATAATTTGATTTAAATATATTTTAAATATAAATTATTAAAATTAAATTCATTTACATTGATAGATTATCATACAAAACATAAAGATTTTAGAATAGGGATAACTAAGGGCATGTTTGTTTTCAGTGTTTTTTATAAAATTATTTGTTTTCATTTTTTAAAATATTTTTTTTAAAACAAAAAAATTTAAAAACTTATTTGAATAAGTTTTTTTTATTTAACTATTTTCAAACTTTTTTTTAACAAAAAAAATAGGAACAACTTCAAGTTGCTTTCATTTTATGTTTCTTGTTTGCAAAATACACTACATTTAATTATTGGGAATTACAATTATCTTAACCAATTTTTATCATAAATCACTATCATTAATCACATGTAAACATTACTATCACTCTATTTTGTAATTATAAAACTATTTTTAAATTAATATAAGTAAATGAATTTTTGTTTTGTTTTGTTTTGTTTTGAAAAATAATTTTGAAAATTGTATTACAAAATAGTTTTTAAAAATAAAAAATGGGAACAAAAACCAAACAGGCCCTTATTTTTGGTATTTTTTATTTTTTATTAATAATAGTTTTTTCTTTTTAAGTTTTTTTCTCTTTGAACTAGGTTCTATCACTTCTATGAACTAAATCTGTATATATTTAACTCACTTAACTTAATAAAAAAAATCGATGGGTTTAATAAGTTTAACTAAGTTTAAATCTAATATGAGTTTATGCATTAGTTGACATGATTTTGTAAGTTAAAAATATAAAAATGATAAACTCATACGTTAACTTGTGAGTTTAATGAAATTTATATTTAGTCCGAGTTTATAAGTAAGTTGGCACGATTTGATAAGTTAAAAATGTGAAAACATTAAACATGAAAAGTTAAGTCGAGAGTTTGACAACTGTGATGAAATATATAAGTAAAAAATCGATTAACTTATAAATGGCAAGGTCTCTCACCCGGCTCTATAAATAGGAGACTCACCTATCCACGAAAATACCACGTTAATAACCTTATCAAGATCTTATTTGAACGATGTATTCCCTCGTAAGCAAGTTATTATTCCTTCTGTTTCTCTGTTATTCCATGATATGTCTCTCTTCTTGTATGCCTAGCTATGAGCTTGACAGATTCACTTCAGAGGAAGAAGTCTTGGGACTATTCCAACTGTGGCAGAAGGAATACGGACGAGAGTATGAAAATCTGAATGACGAAGCCAAGAGATTTGACATCTTCAAAGATAACTTGAAGTACATCAGAGAGACAAACGCAAGAAGAGAATCAGCCTTCGACTATAGCTTGGGTCTGAACGAGTTTGCAGATCTGAGCAGGGAGGAGTTCAGTAAGATTTTCACGCCTGACATGGGTCCACTGCCCAAAGACAAGGTGGACTTGAACGATGAAGACGATGATTCGTGTCCTGATGCACCTCCTTCCATAGATTGGAGGAAGAAAGGAGCTGTCACTAAGGTCAAGTACCAGGGTCATTGTGGTAAGTTTCTGCGTGCTTGCTCTAAAGTAAAAAGAATTTGTCCACAACTTCATCATTTTTGGATATAAACACGAACACAAGTTCTCTGGAGCACCTCTCTGTACGGCTTCCTGTGTGTGAAATTCTATGTTTGAGGATAATCTATTGTACCAAAGTAGTTTCTCTTGTTTTTCTCTTCTTGGTGTCGAACTAAGGAACTCTAAAATAAATCCTCAAGGATTTACCATGAAGATTTAATGTGTTGGTCTTGTTTTTCTCTTCTTGTTTGCTGGGATGTTTTTTATCCTTTTATTGTTTCTTTTATTTGTGTCCTTAGGTCAAATGATCCCAATACCGTTTAAATTCCTTATATCAAGTAAATTTTTTATGATAGTTTTATCAAAATAATTTAAACCATTTGATTAAATAAATTTCAAACTTTATATATTACTTACAAGTGAAAATGACAATTAGAGACTTTATAAGAATATTAATTATAATTATAGACCTTGAATTATTGAATCTTAATAATAGATTATGGTCCTTACTTGCAATAAATTATTTTTTTTTGTTTGGCTTAAAATTTATAACAAATTTATGTAAATTATCAACTAACACTACAAATATTTTCAAGTATCCTTTGTTAATTTCTTAAGAAATTCATTTACATATTGACAGTAAAAAATTACAAATGATTAGTTTGCAATTTACAACTAACTCTCATAAATTTCTAATTAATATTACAAATAATTCTAAATGTATTTTATAAATTTCTCAAGCGATTTATCTTTATATTAATAACAAAAAATCACAAGTGATTAATTTGCCATTCACAATTGACTTTTATAGATTCCCAATTAGTATTACAGAAATTTCAAGTGTATTTTATTGATTTTTCAATTGGTTTATCGATATATTGAAAGGAAAAAAATCTTAATTCACAACTAATTCTTACAAATTCTTAACTAACGTTACAAATAATTTCAAGTATATTTTATTGATTTCATGATTGCTATTCGGGTATTTTTAATTACAAGTAAAGATTATGATCTATTATTGAGATTTCAATAATTCAAGGTTTATAATTGTAGTTAATGTTTTTATGGGGTCCCAAATTGTCATTTTCTCATTTTCTAATTACAAAATGTGAGACTTCTTTATCTCTAATATTGTGCTACCCTTTAATTTTTGGTTTGAAAACTATAGCTTATATTTGAAAAATTAGACAATTGATTTATATGACAAAAAGAGTATTTGTTTTAGTTCTATTTATAAGGCCTTAATAATTATTATTTCTATCTTTCAATAATTATTATTTCTATCTTTATTTGTTTGTTCCTATTAAATGCTAGAAATGTTATTAGATGCTCGAATATTTTATTTTTAGACAAAGTTAATTATATTTAAAGTTTTTCTTAGTTCACATGAAAATGTTAGCTAGAAATTACTTATATAAATAGAATAAGAGGGAGAACAGTCTAAAAAGATACCAAAAACAAAAAAAAACATTTGTACAATTTTGTTAACCTATAAGCTCTAGTTTTCGAAGGAAAAAAGAATGGCAGCAGTTAGTGGTGTATATAAACAGTACTAAGATTTCAGACTGAATGGGACAGGAAGTTGCTGGGCATTTGCTGCCACAGGAGCCATTGAAGGAATAAATGCAATAGTCTCAGGAAGGCGTAGTGTGAGCGTCTCTGAACAAGAACTCGTAGACTGTGTTGAAGAGGCAAAAGGTTGTAGTGGAGGGTGGTACCATAATGCATTTCAATATGTTAAAAACAATGAAGGCATTGCCAAAGAGGCTGATTATCTCTATACTGCTGAAAATGGCACTTGCAAAGCCTCCGAGGTGAAGTCAATAATTTTTTTTGCTTTTTTCTTAATTTTATCTAGAAATTGAAAGAAAAGTTAGTGAATATTTATCACAAACTGAATTTCTTTTTTTTGACTGATTTGCTGAGCACAAAGCTTAATTATTGCTTTGTTTTGGCGTGGCTGGTTCTGACTTAATTAATATTTTCCTTGTCTAATTTTATTTTTACGTTTTATTTTATCTTTTTTCGAAACAGATAAAAAGGAAAGCTGTCACTTTGAGTGGGTACAAAACTGTGACGTATCAATCTGAAAAGTCATTATATTGTGCGGTCTCGAGGCAGCCAGTTAGCGTGGCCTTGGATGCAAGAGATTTTCAATTCTACAAAGAAGTAAGTCTCACATCTCATTAATTTTCAGTTTTATTTATAAATTATTTTTAATATATTTTAATAAAATAAAAATAATTTTAAATTTTATTAACCCTGTTTTAAAATTTAACAAGTTTTTATTTCTACCCTCAATAAAAACAAAATGAATTATATTTAATAATTTTCCTCAGTATTTAAGGAGACAAAAAAAAATAAAGGTGAACATAGAAAATATAAAAGCATCATATAAAGAAGACCAAAATTAATGCTCTCTTTACACTATGAATAGGACTACAGAAGTACCTCTTAAATTATTATGAATTACTATTAGCTGTTCGGTCGAAAGCATCTATGAACCAATAATATGAAGTTGGATTGAGTAGAATGAACTCAACACCTAAAATTGCATGTGAAAAAAAAAATATGATATCATTTTTAATGCTCTTTTTCATCAAAATTCCTAGGGAATCTATAATGGAGAAAACTGCACAGGCAAACTTTATACTAGTCATGCCGTGTTGATCGTGGGATACGACACGGTGGCTGACCGTGATTACTGGATAGTGAAGAACTCATGGGGAGAAAGTTGGGGCATGAAGGGGTACATGTTCATCAAACGAAACACAGGTAACAAAGATGGTGTATGTTTGATTAACGACTATGGTGCTTATCCAACTAAGGAAGAAGAAGAAGCAGTGAAGCCTGAGTATTACTACTCCTCTATATGAAGCCATCACTTCATGTTGTTTTTCCTAATAAGTATTAGATATAAATAATTAAGCCTGGCTTCATGTACTTGTGTGGGACCTTGTGTTGTGAGTTTTCTACGCTATATATGTATGTCTTGGGCATAAATAATAAGTGATAAATGACTTGCCTTTAAACAAAGGTTATGTTCATTGTTATATTTTTAATTTACAAAATCATATTAACTCATTTATAAATTTTAATTGGATATGAACTCAGTTAAACTTATGAATTGATTTTCTGAGTTCACTATTTTATAAAATCATATCAACTTATTTATAAACTCAAACTATATGCAAATTGAGTTAAAATCATTGATTTTTTATTGAGTTGAACAAGTTAGGTATATAATGTATAAAACTTAATTCGTGAAGAACTCATGGGGAGAATGTTGGGGCAAGAAGGGATACATGTTCATCGAACGAAACACAGGTAGCAAAGATGGAGTCTGTTCGATTAACAACTATGGTGCTTATCCAACTAAGGAAGATGCAGTGAAGCCTGAGCATTACTACTCTTCTATTTGAACTAAATAAGTATTAGCAATGAATAAGCCTATCTGGCTTTATGTAGTTGTGTGGGACCTAGTGAGTTTTGCACACTACATATATGTATGTCTTGGGCATAAATAAGTGGCAAATGATTTGCCTTTAAATAAAGATTATGATTTAAGGCTTCTAAATTAATCAATGTAAGTTCTGCTTGTACTTCAATATATAGTTTCTCGTTTGGCCTATTTGATTAATGTAAGTTATGTGAACTACGAGCATACATACTAACAAGAATAAGAGAAGCATTTTTGTAAGGTTAATTTAATTTGAACCCCAAGACTCACCGGCCGACAGTCCAATTGGTCGGATTGTCCGATCCGATCCGAGTTTGAAATCACTGGCGATCAATAGAAAAGACAAGACTTCACTAATATATATATATATATATATATGCGCGCGCGCGCGCACGACTTTTACACAGTCTTAATTCGCATCCGCATAAAGTGGTGCCCACATATATGAAATCCGAATGGCCATTCAATTTATATCTCATTGCTATATATATATATATATATATATATAAAATTAACCTCAAATTTTGAGTTTTGATATTGCCCCTGGTACTCATTTGGAGGAAAATGATTGATAGAGTGAGTTTAATTTATTTTGCTGATAGTTTAATTGTACTCATATTTGTTTTTCTTGTTCTTGGGCCTCTAGGCCCCATCCCTGTACCCAAAAAAAAAAAATTCATGAAAATATAGAAATAACTTGAATTGCTCTATAAAACTTTGAAACTTTAGTTTCGCCTCTTACTTTTAATCTTTTTAATTTAATAATTATAAATGAATGTTGTAAAATATTTAAGGAAAAATAAGAGAAAAGTCTCACTAAAATATGTAAATGATAATGAGGTTCCGTGAAATATAATAATTATTTTTAAGTTTGTTGAGACCTTTCTAACATAAATATCTTTTGTAAAATGATTATAATGCACTCCAAGTATTATAAATATTAGTGACTACTTTAGTTTAAATAAAGACTATTTTTTTTATGAAAATAACTAAAACAGGATAGCAAATAACAAGTTCCGTTTTGTAAATTTTTTAATCACATATCCATTTCTTTCTTATTTTAAATTAAAGGCATTATAATCATTTCATAAAAGATGTTAACATTAATAAGGTTTCAAGAGATTTGAAAAAAATTATCACATTTCACGGAATTTTATTATATATTTCAGGGAAAGTTTTCTATCATTTTGTTCAATACTTAAACAATTCTTTGTCATATCTTTTGCAATATACGGCAACATGATCAGCACTTCCAAAAAGTTCGACACTGTCCGCGTTTCCTCCACTAACGTCGACGGTGTTGGCTACATTTGAAGACATAAATGGTTTCACTGCCTTCTCTGAACCTTTCCAAACTCCGCATCCGAGGTGAGTTTGTTTGTTTGTTTTTTTTTTTAAGGAATAATAAAATTTTTAATCTTTTAAATTTACTTCAATTTTTTATTTAATTTCAGTACATGTGCCCTGGTATTTGAATCTACACATTGAATTCTGATTAATCTAAACCAATAGTCAGGTAGCACTATAAGAATAGCAAGCTCTTTCAATCACGAGTGTCAGCCTTGTTAAAAAAAGGAAAAACTTGTTGAACAAGTTTAATTATCTTGTAGAAAGCCAAAACCTTGATGTTCAATTCGAAATGTCGAGAAAAATGTTGGAGCTAAGCCAATTAAGTTTGCCAAATTTCAAGTCTAAATTCAAAATTATGTACATGTATGTAGAGAGAGAGAGAGAGAGAGAGAAGGGGGGCACAACGTGGCTACTGGCTCATCAACCCCCGCCGACAAGAACAACACTAAATTAACTTTTGGCCTTCAATTATTACGGAATGGAGCACCAAATCAGGATCAACACTTGAAATAATTTCTTTTCTTTTCTTCCTGCCCTTTTAATTAGGAAAAATAATAATAAAGTCTCTTAAATCATATAAATGACAATCTAATCATTTGAAGTGTTATAATTTCACTGAAGTCATTAGAAACTTTTATGTCATTAATAAATTTATATAAATGATCAAACTATCCTTGTAACAATATCAGAAACTAGACATGGAAAATTATAATTTGCTAATGCATTATTGTGAATATAAGAAACAAAGTTGTGATTATTTAAACAAAATTTGTGATCATTACTTGTTATTTTCAACACTTGTAGAAATATTAGGAATTTGATGTGTAAAGTTATGATTTACTGTTGCATTGTTGTGAATATAAAAAGTAAAGTAATGATTATTTAAATAAAACTTGTGATTATTACTTATTATTTTTAACACTTATAGCAATATTAAGAATTTGATATGCAAAGTTGTGATTTGTTGTTTTATTGTTATAAATATAAGAAGAAAAATTATTATTATTTAAACAAAATTTGTGATCATTTTGTTTACAACAAGGCAATTTGATCATTTATATAAATTTATTAATGACAGAAAAGTTCCTAAGGACTTTAGAGGAATGATGGCATTTCAAGAGATCAAATTATTATTTATATAATTCAAATGGATTTTATTATCATTTTTTCTTTTAATTATGATATTGAAACAAATAGAAGTAATCAGTTCAGATAGAGTAGTAGTAATACTCAGTTTAGTTTTTGATTTAAATTTGCCATGCAGTGGCATGTTGCTCTGCCCTAATTCCTTACAACATATACAAACCATGGTGATTTTCCAAGTTTGATTATTAGATACATATAAACTTTGATTTTAACCAATAAATAAACATATCAGATTGATGAGTTTAAACTGAAAAATTGTCATAATTTGGCCTAATTTTTGCAATTTGGCGTTTCTACTGACAAAATTGTCCAATTCACTAATGTCGTCATAAAATGGACCACTTCGCTACATACGGATAAAAGATATATTAAAGGACCACTTGTTATGTATGATTGAGTTAACATTTAGCTATCCTCCGAAAATGGACCACGGAAATAAAAGGACACGTGAAACGATATTGAAAAAAAAAAATTACTTAGAAGACAAACACACACACACACACTTGGTTAATTTATTTGCAGTAATAATTATCCTAAGAAGCAACACATTGAGCTTTTGTCACTTCACATGTCCATTTCTTTTTATTTTAAATTGATGGCATTATAGTTATTTCACAAAAAAACATTAATATCAATAAGGTTTCAAAGGACCTGTGAAAAATTATCACATCTCACGAGACTTTACTAGTTTGTACATATTTCAGGAGAATTTTTCCATTATTTCTCCAAGACTAAATAATTCTTTGTCATAATTTTGAAGATATGAATGGTTCCGCTGCCTGAAGCTTTCCAAACTCCACGTCTAAAAAGAATAGTGAAATTTTTAGTCTTTTAAATTTACTTTAATTTTTGATTTAATTCATGAAGTTTAAATTTTTAATAATCAAGTTGCTAAAGTTTCAAACTAATTCTCTATGTTTATGAAATTTTAGTGACTTGGCGGATAAAAATTAAATTTCAGAGACTAGATTGATAATTAAGACAAACTTGAGGGATCAAATCAATAAATAAAAACATATTATTCCCTAATTATGCAAGTTTAACTTCAGGAAAACTTATTGGCATGTTACATAATTGGTGTAGTTTATGTTAATTTTGGGTGCTTAAGTTGATGAAATATCATTTATGGGTGTCACTAGTTCAAAACTATCGGTTCTCTTGCTTTAAATGGTAGTTTTCTGTTTTTTTTTTTTTGGGTGTACTTATTGGATCTTTTATCTTTGTAGGTTACCCGAGAATTGTGGATATAGGTTGAAATTGAAGAAAAGAAGAAGGTTATCAAGGTACCGGATCAATTTTTAAATTGGTTACGATTAAAAGTTAAGGGTTAGGAGTTTAACTGAAGTTAGACTGAAAGTCAGCCTAGAGTCAATCATAATAAATAAAATTATATTTTAAAATTTATTTAATTTAATTTTTAAATAGACTAAACATTTTAATATTGTATGAATAATTAAAAACATACTTAAAGTAACAAAAATCAAATACTAAAATGATAAATGGATATAATTTTTTTATTCCCTAAAAAATTAATAAAAAATTATGTAAATTTTTATTTTATTAACATGAGTGAACGTCGGCTTTGAAATTTGAATTATTGTCCTTGTTCTTTTTTTTTAACCAAAAATCAAAGCTACTTATCTCTATCCTACGTTCCCAACCTTGCCTAGCAGCCTAGACATCCTATCTTATCAAAAGCTCAGTTTCACGTGCTTGGCCGTCTCATTTTTTGGCCTTTCTCCTCTTTTTTCAACTTCTCATTTTCTTGGTTGAAGGTAAAATAAAACATTTTCTAGTAACATTTTTTTATCGCTCTTCATGTCTTCATCTCTAATTCTTTCAATTGCATTTCTCTTTCCCAAATTCAAGTCATCATGGTTGAAATAAAAGTGCAAAAGTCGAAAAAGCTAAAATTAAGGTTTGAATGATAGCTCTTTTTTTTTTTTTTTTGGGTCTCGTGTTCTTTCTTTCTTTTGTCTCCTTTCTTCTTCTTCTTCCAAGTGTGAGGTAGAGAACGCCGTTTGATCTTTGCCTTAGGTTTTTTTTTTTTTCTCGACACCGACAGAGGGTTGGAGTTAAAAAAATTTAACCTGCCCAATTCGTCTAACTCAAGAGTTGGGCTAGTTAATTCAAATTAATCTTAAGTCACCTAGGTTAACCCAAATTAACTAACTCCTAATGAATTCATAAAACTAGATTTGACACATGGCTCAGTCCGGTTCAATTTTACAAACCATGAACGTTATACATTGAAGAAACGTATCTAATTTGACCCCAAAATGTAGAAATTACAAATTTGCCATGCAGTGGCATGTTGCTCTACCCTAATTCCTTATAATATATACAAACCATGGTTTTTTTTTTCTAAGTTTGATTATGAGACACATATAAATGGACAAACGACACTTTGATTTTAGCTAATAAAGGAACATATCAGATTGATGAGTTTAAACTGAAAAATTGTCATAATTTGGCATAATTTTTGTAATTTGGCATTTCCACTGACAAAATAGTCCAACTCACTAATGACATCATAAAATGGACCACTTGGGCCACATACGGATGAAAATAGATATATTAAAGGACCACTTGTTATATATGATTGAGTTTGTATTTAGCTATCATCCAAAAATGGACCACAGAAATAAAAGGACGCGTGAAATAATATTGAAAAAAAAAATACTTAGAAGACAGACAGACAGACACACACACACTTGGTTAATTTATTTGTAGTAATAATTATCCTAAGAAGCAACAAATTGAGCTTTAGAAATAATTACACAATCCATAATTTGCCAATAATAACTTTTTTATAAATTTTAAAGTTTATTTTTATCTTGCTATTGAACAACAATATTGAAAACAAATATTTACAAAACAAATAATATACACATGGTGAGTCATTATATAATATAAGATATTTAATAAGTCATATTTCACTATTACAGAAATAGTATCGCACATACTGGTAATATAAGGAGTGATTCACGATATTTTGTTAACTGCTAATTTAAGAACTTAAATAATATAAGTTGTTTAATTTTCCATGATTTGTTTTGGGAACTCGTACATTGATTAAATTCTTTTCGAGGTCATAATTTTTGCTATTTGGCACTTCCACTGACAAAATAGTCCAACTCACTAATGACATCATAAAATGGACCACTTGGCCACATACGGATAAAAAAGATATATTAAAGGACCACTTGTTATATATGATTGATACTCCAAAAATGACCACGGAAATAAAAGGACACGTGAAAGAATATTGAAAAAAAAATACTTAGAAGACAAACACACACACACACACACTTGGTTAATTTATTTTTAGTAATAGTTATCCTAAGAAGCAACACATTGAGCTTTAGAAATAATTACACAATCCATAATTACACATTGACCTTTAGAAATAATTACACAATCCATTATCTTGACATTGGACAACAATATTAAACAAATACATAGAAAACACATAGTATACACATTGTTAATTATTATATAATTAAGATATATAATAAGTCATACTTCACTACCATAGATGTAGTGTTTAGTATCGCACATCTAGCAACGTTTTTTTTTTTCTTTTGCTTTTCCCAGAAAGTAACGTTTTCTTAAATAATAAAAGCTACTAAAAGGTCCTGGGTAGCTAACGCTTACAATGTTTAGGGCTACTAGAAGTGGGAGAAAAAATGGGATATAGGTAGCAATAATAATACTAATTGGACAAGTTTTTTTGTTTTTTTTTTTTTGTTTTTAGATAATACTAGTTGTATAAATCTTTATAAGGCGTAGGGAAATGAATTACACTATCCATAATCAGGTAATATTATGATTTGTTAACTAATTTACTTTTTTCAAAAAAGTTAGTTAATTTTTTTTTAAATTTTTACATCTTTCCAATCTTATCTTTAAGTGAAGTAAATATAACATTTGACTTATTCAAAATATCCTCATTAATTATTTGAGTGGAAAATAATAAAGTAACCTTATATTTAGAAATACATACATACATACATAATATATATATATATATATATATAATCCACCCAATTACATAATTTTGGAATTTGGACCAACCAGAGCTTTTAAAAACATCCTGTGTTGTGGTTTAGAGGGAGTAAGAATATTAATATTGAATAAATACTTATAAGACAAATATACGCATGATTAATAAATATATGATCCAACATAACAAGTCATGCTTTTAATGAGATATAAACAATGCCGGTTGTCTATGAAATTTCAAATAATATACATATTAATAATTCACAAGACCCATTCGGGAATATTCCATAGAGGAAAGAAGGAGTGATTAACTAGTATTAACCATTAAGCATCTTGCTGGTCCAATAATTAAAAAAGTACATATTTTATTACGTCGCGTGTCAATTCATTGCAGCAAATAAAACGTGGTTACGTGCATTGCTTGTTGTAATTGATTTGAAACTTGACATCAGCTAAATTAGAAGTTAGTAGAAAACTTTTGTCAATATCTCCAGATAAGACAATGATGGCGTTTTGCTATCTTCCAAAAATGGACCACGGAAATAAAAGCCGACATGAAATCAAAATATTGAAGAAATACTTAAAAGTCCAATTTTGGCCAAAAAGGAAATACTAATTGGGAGTTAAACATACACAGAGTTAATTCAGGTATACCGTATAATAGTTATTAGAATTTAATCAGAAGAGCTTGCATAGAGGTTGGGCAATGAAACGTACGTATGGTTTGTTATCGTTGATTTTAAACTTGAAATCAGCAAATTTATTACGTTGAGTAGCTTTTAGTACCTAATTTTTCTCAATATGTATGTAATTCAACTAAACTATATATATATATATATATATATTATGTGATGTACATATATCATATATGTATTAGATATGACATGATACCAATACATCGAGATGGCGATTTATAAAAAAAGACATTATATGAAACGTCTAAGGTATATGTATGTGTATATATTGAAAAAATATTCCAAAAAAATATTAAAAATAGAATTCTAATTCAAAAAATCCAAATACGAACGGATATACTGTTCTTTGATAGGCAAAAAAATATTGTAACTATAAAATTCACTAATGTAATTTTTATTGCCAATTATATATAGTAATAACATTATTGATGCTTTTAAATCTCCTTCTAGAAAAAAAGGATTAATATGCAATAAATTTGTATTTAATACATTCTAACCTTTAAATAATTAAACTTAGGGCAATTTCACCTATTGTTAAATTAAAACAAGTGTTCATTATTTTTTAAAAAATGGGACCTGATATGCAATTTTTCTCAAATTCCACTCTCCCTCTCTCTTACCTTCCTTGAAGAGAAATTGCAAATAAGGCCCTATTTTTTTTAAAAGTGATGAAAGTTTGATTTAATTTGACAATGGGAGCGAAACTGCTCCAAATTTAATTATTTAGGTTTAAATATATTAAATACGAGTCTAAAATTTAATTTTTCCTTATAGTTCAATGCTCAAATTACATATTAACTCAAGAAATAACTCATTGGGGGACATCAACCTGTTGTGCATATCAAGTTCCATGTAAACACACACACAAGCCTATTTGCCTCTGTTTTTATTTTTGTAACCTATCTGCGTCTGTTTTTCTTTTTGTGAGAAATGAAGAGCGACTGCCCAGGAATGGGAGTATAGGAGAGATGGGCAATAGTAATGAAAAGACATTATATTTTAACTCAACTTCAAAGGCTCAAGTTTATGGGTTCTTCCTTTTTATTATATATTAATTATTAAACTCAACTTTATTTGATATGGGTCTTCCCACATCATCTTATATCCATTCACACTTGGATAGTCTAACACTTTTGATTGTGTGCAAATTGTGATATGAAACCAGCCAGTGTAAAGTGATTTAAAATTTCTTTTATTATTTTCTATCGGAGTATTTTTTTTTTTTTGCTTGCCCATTTAAGTTGTATGTCCATCAATAGTTACTATGCTACCTTTTTTTGGGTCTTAAATGTAATATCTCAATCTACTTTGTATCAATAGAAAGTCCCTTAAGAAGGTACCACCTTAATCATCTTTTGCTCCTATTATTATTAACAAATGTCTATTTTGTTAAGTTGTGTTCTTTTATTGTAACAAATAAAACGTGCTCTTGTACCCTGGTTTTGCTTTTTTTTTTTTCTACAGGAAAAAAAGATAGCTCTTACTGTTGATGGCTATGGAAATGTGACATCCTTATCAGAACAGTCTCTCTTTTGCGCCGTTTCTAGGTAGCCTGTTAGCGTTTATAGGTATGCCAGTACCGAAGACTTTCAACACTACAAGGGTGTAAGTCATGTGTGTGTGTGTGTGTTTGTGTGTGTCTGGTGTATATATATCTCCATGACGACTATCAGTTATATTTTGTTTCAAACAAGAGGAGTGACTATTGATTAAAATATAATATACAAACTCATCATCCATTTGTTTACTTCATTAACATATGGGAAGGGACTCTTTGATGCCAGAAGCTACACAAACGTTGAACAATGGAATATTAGTCATGCGATGCTGATCGTGGGATATGGTTCGTATGGTGATGGTCTTGATTATTGGATTGTGAAGAACTCATGGGGTAAAGATTGGTGGGGAGACGATGGTTACATCTACGTCAAAAGAAACACTGGTGATCCTTATGGTGTATGCAACTTCAATTGCTATGCTTATTACCCAACCAAGAACATTCTCAAGCTTGATTCTGCTATATGAAGCAACTTCAAATGCTATATATATATATATATGCAACACCAATAACAATGTGTGTGTGTGTTTGGCATAAATATAATAAATGGCATATCACTTGCCTTTATGAATAAAAGCTCTGTTTGTGTTGTAACTTGTGCATTTGAAATGATCAAATGATGCATGCTGAGGTTCGCTTGCATATTGTTAATTATCATGAAATATTAAAAGTGTTATCTCTTGTTGAAATTGTTTATTAACATAAAATTATTTGGATTTTGAGTTATTTGGCCCTCTATAAGACGGACAACATGAGATTAATAAATGTTTGGCACTTGAAAAAATGGGGTAATGGACCACCAAAATAACTTCCAAAATTAAGAAGTAATAATGCACAACCTAATGATAGGGCAAAGAATTTTCATGTACTTGGATAGCAAACCGTGGATTCAATATAATTTAAGCTAATATTTTGAGGAATCGCAACATATAGAAATTTAATGGTCTTTTTGATTTCATATATGCCGGGACGACATTATGTTCATGCATACTAAGACTGTGTAAAACTCGTGCATATTAGGGAAACCTTATCTAAATAGATTAGTAACAGAACTTTTCATTGCTAAACAGATTAATTAGTGATGAAATTAGGGTGTTAATAGAAACAGTCATTATTGTATCGAAAAAAAGGTCACTAATATGTTGCTGATGAATTTGCAGTTTTCGTGGCAAATTAAATCACACCATAGCTAATTTTATGTCTAAACTATTCCAACTCCACGATGGAATAATACAGAATGTGGAATGCATTTGGTCATAAACATTGCCATGCCACTTGATGGGTTCATCACCACCTCATCGCCATGTCAAGACCATATCATCACAATATCATTGTCACATGCCATGTCATCTATTCACATCAAATGTGCCTTGGCCAACATTTGAAACCATGACTGCACACTTCCAAATACATTTGTGTTCTCCTTGTTTCGAGTTGAATGGAAAGAGATCTTTATTATTTGAGAAATCAAATATATGATATTTAGTTACACACAGATATCAATAAATAAATTATTAAAATATACATATTTGTTTGATATTATTTTTTATTAATATGATAAATTATTTTATTTTTATATATTTATATAATAATTATTTGTATTATAATTTTTCTAAAAAATTATTTCTTAGGAAATTTAATGTCAAATGAAACATTGTTTTATTATCCTTATGTATTACTATGATATTATAATATATATATATATATATAAGGTCCTATATTGGTTCCCCTGCTTTACTTGGCAGTTTTATGTATTTTCTTTTGTTTACTCGCATGATCTTCAATCTTTGTAGGAGAACCGAGAATTGTGGATATGGGTTGAAACTGAAGAAAAGAATTAAGAAAGTTATACATTGAAGAAACTTATCTAATTTGACCAAAAAACTGGGGAAATTACAAATTTCTCATTCAGTGGCATGTTGCCCTGCCTTTATTTCCTTACAATATATACATAGAGGAGATTTGTCATGGTGATTTTCAAGCTTGATACGCATAATTTCACTTGAAACTCAATATCTTAGGGTTCATGCCCAAGGTTTTCATCATTATGGGACATTATTATAACTCAAGGGTTTCTATATATAACTCAAGGGTTTCATCATTTTGGGACATTATTATATTACGAGACTGGACAGAGAAGGCTAGAAGACTCGTGTGGAAATTCAACATTGATTATGAGTTTTTCTCTTTCCATTCTATATATTTTGAATATGGAAATAATTTTACATGGCCAGAGAATCTTTGATTGGAAAAACTGTGTAGTTTCTTATTATGATTAACCATGCATTTGTGGGATATGATTCCATCCATGGTCAAGATCTTATTAGAATGCCAAAAATTTATGGATAGTTCATTCCAGAAGGGGAAAAAGAGGCGGGGGGGCAAATGACACAGAAGTTCCATGTAAAGATAACTAATGACAGAAGTAGGTCCTGAATTTGTGAATTGATAAGTCTCATGCGTGCTCTTTAACTATCAAAACGTTAAAAACTCAAATATTAAAATCTTGAAAGATGAGTTGTAAATAATTAACAATATAATTGCAAATATTGCTGTAGTGATTATCCTATAAAGCCTCTTTGAAGCTTTATTTATCCTATGAAATGTGGTTTTAGACACAGAAGAATGAATGTTTGTTAGAAAATACTAACATTTGAATTTACTCTAAACATATTGTTAGTACGTCCTATGGGAAATGAGTAGTCTTCTTGTTGGGACCTCCAGAAGACGGACCACGTGAGATTCCTAAAAGTTTGTCTCTTCGGAAAATGAAGTAATGGACCACCATATATAATAACTTCCAAAATTATGAAGCAATGGACAGAACCTAATGATACTGCAAAGAATCTGCATGGACTTAGGTGGAAAACAATCGATACAGTTAAAGATAAGATTTTGAAGAATCGCAATAAGATGGAATTTTAATGGCCATTTTGATTTCATATCTGTGGGGACTACTTTACTTGCATGCGAATTAAGACGGTGTGAAACTCGTGCATATATTAGTGTAATCTTATCTTTTCTTTGTCATATTTTGCAACTTTAATTTAGACTTTTGCTTTTAATATTTTTACTTTAATAATTTATTATTTTGAATATTTTTTGCTTTAATTTGGTTACTGTAAAATACTTAGATAATTATACATGAATTTATTTTCAAAGCTTATGTTTCAAATACTAAAATCTTATCATTTAAATATCAGTTCGACTTTTGCTTTTAATTTGTTACTTTAACATTGAATTAATAATATAATTATATTTATTAATTAAAAAATTAAAATTGATGCTTGCGATAAAAAAAGGTAACTAAATTAATTATTCTTTAAAGAATATTTAATAATCTACGTGACATATTTCTTGAAGAATACGTTTAACTCTTCCAAAACGGACCACCTATACATATACACAATAAGGTGGTCAATTTTTTTTTTTAAAAAACCTTATATTACCCAGTATTTTACTTTTTTTTTTTTTAACTTATGGACTTAAATTGCAAACCCTTGATACAATTTTACACGATAAGGTTTCCAACATTCTTAATGGCCTTTGGGCGAGGACTTCACGGGTGTTTTGGGAAATTGGGACTATAAACAGTGTAAACTCAAGCTCGTTAAGGAATATTTCCTTTTATTACAATAAAAAGAATATTTCCTTCTAGGATAATCAAACTTTCAGTCTCTTAAGCTTGTTCTAATCATTGATTTTAGCCTTTAAATTTAATTTTTATTGATTTGGTCTTCAATTCGATCCCTAAACTATAAATACAGGAAATCTGAGACGCTAAACTAATTTTTTTGCATAATGTTTCTCCTCCAATTTTGAAAATGGCGCCATATAGCTCCTATCATTAACAAAAATTAATTTTGACTGTTAGTGACCGAAGATTGATTAAAAAGACGTGACCGAAGATTGATTAAAAAGACCAAGAAAATTATAGAAAATAACAAAAAAAAATTAAAAAAAAAGGATTAAGATGTGAAAAGGCTCTATATATACGAGACATATACCAACGCAATGATAGTAGTTCAATCATTTGATCTCTCATTTGATTAAACAATGACTCTTCTCATCTCTAAGTCTCTCTTTCTTCTTATGTTCCTCTTCTTTTTCAACATATGTCTCTCTTTTAGTATTCCTAGTGAGTACCCAACTCTGAGTGATGATAATGTTGAGGAATTAGACAAGTTCACTTCCGAGGAAGACATTCGTGAGCTATTCCGAATGTGGCAGAAGAAATACGAACGAGAATACGGATCAAGAGATGAGAAGGAAAACAGATTTGAGATCTTCAAAAGCAATTTCAAGTACATCGTGGAGAAGAATGCCAAGACAGCATCCTATCGTTTGGGTTTGAATCAGTTCTCAGATTTGACTTTCGAGGAATTCAGCAAAACATACTTGGGCCATCAGCAACCCATAATTGAAGACAACATCAACGATGATGAGAACATGGAATCCGACAACGATTTCTGTCCAGATGCACCTGCTTCTATTGATTGGAGGGTCTTCGGAGCTGTAACTCATGTTAAAAACCAAGGCTCGTGTGGTAAGTGTTACTCACAGAACTAATCCATTATGTAGTGTGTTGATTGCGGAATTTGGATTTTAGATCTAAAATCTAGGAGAATATTGACAATAAAGTCCCAGAACATGAAATTTATGACAATTAAGTCCCCAACAAATTTTATTTATTGAAAAATAAACTACAAATATTGATTCAAACTATGTCTACAATGTTGTCATTTGAAATTACAAATGAATTATAATAAGAAATGGATTTCCAAATCCACAAATTTTTGTGTATTCAATTGAGAGATTTGGACTAAATCAAAATCTAAACCTTTAAATACAAACACACCATAAGTATTTCATATAGTGAAATAGAAAGAGAAACTTAACAGTGAATACCACTTACACACATAAAACTTGTAAGTAAAGTTCACAACTTTCTTGCAATCTCTCCTAGCTTCACCTCAACAAGAGATTCCAATTTCGTTAACTGGGTGTGTGTTTTTTTTTTTAATTACTTTTTATATCTGGATTTAAACTCTGATAAAAATAGTTCAAATAAAATAAATTAATAAAAAAGTAATTAATTTAAGGCAGACACAGAAAAAAAATTGTTATGGAAAGAGAGAATAAAATTGAAATTGTTTCATTTATTCTTATTTTTTAAGTCTATAGATAATAAATTATTTTTTATTTATATTTCACTACATTTTTTTTGTTATAAAAATATGATACTTATTCTAGATTCAATATATAATGCTTATACCAAGAATAATAGAAATTAGAAACTAATTTGTAAATTCATATGTATATATAGGAAGCTGTTGGGCATTCTCTACTACAGGAGCCATTGAAGGAATATACAAAATAGCCACAGGTAATCTTGTCAACGTCTCCGAACAACAACTTATGTCTTGCGAGCCATATAACTTAGGCTGTGAAAAGGGAGGGTGGTACACAAGAGGATTTGAATATGTCATACAAAATGGAGGCATTGCCTTAGAAAAAGATTATCCATACACAGCCAAAGATGGTACATGTGATCACGAAAAGGTCAGTGTTAATTAATTGTTCCTTCTCCTACAAAATCTTTATTTGTGTCTTCTTGCCTGATTCTGGTTTAGTTTGCTTCTTCTTTCATCTTCTTTTTCTTCTTTCTTATGAAATAGGAAAAATTGATAGCTGCTACTATTGATGGCTATGTAAATAAGACATACAGATCAGAAAGTGCTCTCTTCTGTGCCGCTGCTAAGCAGCCAGTCAGTATTTCTGTCAATGTTACGAGAGATTTCTCGTCCTACCAGCAAGTAAGTCATGAATAATCTGCGCGACGTTACATATGCATATTTCCATTAAGAGGAGTTATATTAATTTCTTGTTGAATTCCAAATTGATACATGTTAAAAGGGTCACAATTAAATGTGTATAAAGCTAATTATAAGTTAATGGTCATCATTCTATATCTTTCAACATGAGAAGGATTCCTAATTATAAAACATAAATATAAAATTTTTTTTTAAAATGAAATATTGATTTGATCTCTTATGTTTTCTTAAATTATCATGCAAGTTTTTTAAATTTTAAAACACAAATTGACTCTCAAAATAATTTATTGTCTGAAGTATATTGATGACTTGGCATGTATATATAGCTAAATAAGAAGAAATTAATCCTCAAAATCAATTTAGTTTTTATCAATATAATCCATTACACTATATTTTGTCCTCTTGTTTTTTTTTTTAATTTTAGAGTTCATTTTTTAACTAAATAATTACAATTTTTTCATTAAAATCTATATGATTGCAAACAATATTCTATTATTTATGTCAATAAATTTTAACAATAATACTTTCTTTTAAAACAGTAAGAATCAAATTGATAATTAAGGTAAATTTTAAATGACTAAATCAATAAACAAATTAAACTTAAAAAAATCAATAATTAGGATGAACGAAGATCCCACATTTCACTTGTTATCATCCTATTTCCTCATTGAACGCTAAAGTTGCTTTCTTTAAACATGCATGGGTAGGGAATCTTTGATGATGGCATCATCCGCGAAGAACGACCATGTAAAGTTAATCATGCTGTGTTGCTCGTTGGATATGGTTCAATTTTCGACCAACATTATTGGATTGTGAAGAACTCGTGGGGGCACTCATGGGGACAAGATGGCTACATCTTCATCAGAAGAAACCCTAATGTCCCTGACGGAGTATCCAACATAAATTGCTTTGCTGCTTACCCAACCAAACGTCTTGAGCTGCCACTTGATTCTGCTATATAAAGCAGGTCGAAGCAATTCTATATGATAAAGCCACTTTATATGTCTAGCTAGTTATAAGTGTCTTTGACATGAATAAATGGCATATCACTTGCCTTATTTGAATAAAGCTTTGTCAACTCTATTATATATGTAAGCTTTGAGAATAAATGCTCTATTTGTGATAGAGCTTTTCTTGAAACTTGTGTGTTATTCCTAATAAAAAACTTGTGTCCCTCAATATTGTCATGGATCTGGTTTGTCTACTGTTACATAACAATAGCATAATGTAGATGTAGTTGCCAATGCTTTTTAATAGTTGGATTGATTTGTTCCTAGTTTGATGTTTCATCAGTTTAGACACATTTCTAGACTAGTGATCTAGCTGCTTCATCGTTCAAGTTTGCTGGTGTGTCCCAATTTTTCGTTGCTTGTAATTTTTAACAGCAATTAAGTACAGTCACTCTCATTTGATGAAACCAAATGCTTGCATTCAAATTTATCTTGCATGAGGAGGATGCTTCACGTTTACATGACTTGGGTCCTAAGGTTCACCAGTGTTAGGACATACTTCCAAACTCAAAAAGCACTTATATGTACTTACAAGTTGCCCACTAATAAGATCTTCACATCAATAGCAGAATTTCATTCCACAACCTTGTAGATTATGGATAAGCAATTCTTGCTTCAGTAAATATAATGAAATCTTACTACTATATACCGATATAGAGAGTTACAGCCTATATGCTTGCGTTTGCAGAGGGATACAACAAATCTTACCTATCTGAACGAATTTTCATGCTGCAATATTTCACCAAGTCATGCTTGCACAAATTTATTAAGCTTTTAAGATATCTTAGATAGGGAACTCAGACATTCATACTTCCACATATTAAATTACAAACATTCATATTCCAAGCAAGTAAAAAGTAATAACCTTTCTTTTATTTAATACATGGGTTAAATATGTATAATTCTTGACTATTTATATCTAATATTAGTGATAATTCATATTCAAGCAATATCAAGTCTAGATAGGGTGAGATCCAAAGTATGGCTTTTTCATCAACAAGGTTCTAATTTTCAACCCTTTTTTTAAATGCAAGTTAGTCATTTAATTACCACTAAACCCTACTTTATTATTTAAATATGCAACCTTGGATATTGATCATATGAATAAAAAAACAAAATATGGCTAGAAGGAGTGATTGTGCCACATATATAATGTAACAAAGTTGAGCACAAAATCTATTTTGCAAACTTGGACAAAAAACTTTGGTTTAAGCTGCTCAATTTGTTGTTGGCTGTGTTCTAGCATTAGAGATATATTGCATTCAAGTGGTTAGATGCTAGGATAATCTATCCCATTTCTGATGGTATATGGGTTAGCCCGGTATAATGTGTTCCTAAGAAAGGAGGAATGATAGTGGTTAGTAATGAACAAAATGAGTTAATTCTGACTCGAGTAGTCATTGGATGGCACATTTGTATAGATTATAGGAAGTTAAATGATGCCACAAGAAAGAATCACTTTCCTCTTCCTTTCATTAACCAAATGCTGGATAGATTAGCTGGGAAGGAGTTCTTTTACTTTTTGGATGGTTATTCAGGCTACAATTAGATTGCTATAGCTCCTGAGGACCAAGAGAAAATAACTTTTACTTGTCCTTATGGCACTTTTGCCTTTAGAAGGATTCCATTTAGTCTTTGCAATGCACTTACCACTTTCCAAAGGTGCATGATGAGCATTTTTTCTGATATGACTGAAGAGATTATGGAGGTGTTTATGGATGACTTCTCTGTTTTTGGAGAATTATTTGAATAGTCCTTGTCTAACTTGGCTAAAGTCTTGAAAAGATGTGAGGAGACTAACCTTATGCTTACTTAGGAAAAATGTCATTTTATGGTAATAGAAGGTATTGTTTTGGGTCACAAAGTCTCCAAGAAGGGTCTTGAGGTTGATTAGGCTAAGACTTTAATTATGGAGTAGTTGCCACCGCCCATTAATGTAAAAGCTGTGAGAAGTTTCTTAGGGCATGCTAGTTTCTATCGTTGATTTATCAAGGACTTCTCCAAGATTTCAAAGCCTTTATCTCAACTCCTTGAAAAAGACACTCCTTTCAATTTCAATGAAGAGTGTACAAAGGCCTTTAAAGAGTTGAAGAGTAGATTAACATCTACCCCTATCATTATTGCTCCAAATTGGTCACTACCTTTTGAGGTCATATATGATGCAAGTGATTTTGCTGTTGGAGCGGTGCTTGGACAAAGGCGTGAAAAGATTTTTCATCCTATCTACTGTGCAAGCAAGACTTTAGCTGGCACACAGGTAAATTACTTAACTACTAAAAAAGAAATACTTGCTATTGTTTTTGCTTTTGAAAAGTTTAGAGTCTATCTGATGGATGCTAAGGTTATAGTTCATATACTGCTATTTGATATTTGTTGAATAAGAAAGAATCTAAACCTAGGCTCATTAGATGGGTTTTGTTGTTGCAAGAATTTGATGTGAAAATTGTTGATAGGAAAGGAACTGAAAATTAGGTTGTTGATCATTTGTCTAAACTTGTTCATGTTTTTGATTATGGTAATGACTTGTTGATTGTTGAAAATTTTCCTGATGAACAATTATTTGTTGTTGGTACTTGTGATTTACCATGGTATGTAGATATTATAAATTATCTTGTGTGTAAAATGTTACCTTTTGGTTTGAAGCCTTTTTAAAAGAAGAAATTTTTGCATGATATTGACTTTTATATTTGGGATGAACCATTTTTGTTTAAAAGATGAGCTGATTTGATCATTAAAAAAATGTGTTCTTGAAATAGATCAAGAAGCCATTTTATATTCCTGTCATGCATCTGCATATGGGGGCATTATGGGGGGCAAAGGACCGCATCTAAAGTTCTTGAATTTGGATTTTATTGGCCTTCTTCGTTTAAAGATGCTCACCATTTTGTTACCAAGTGTGATAGATGTCAAAGGACAGGTAATATTTCAAGGTGACATGAGATGCCTCAATCTAAAATTTTAGAAGTGAAATTGTTTGATGTATGGGGGATGGATTTCATGGGACCATTTCCTTCTTCAAGAGGCAATCAGTACATACTTGTTGCTGTGGAGTATGTAAGCAAGTGGGCAGAAGCTATGGCTTGTCAATCCAATGATGGCAGTACTATGATCCGGTTCTTAAAGAAGAACATCTTTACAAGGTTTGGCACTCTTAAGAGTTATTATCACTGATGAGGGAACTCATTTCAACAACAAGCAATTTAAAGCTCTTTTGTCAAAATATGGAGTTCACCACCGGATGTCTCTTGGTTGTCATCCATAAACCAATGGTCTTTATGAGCTAACCAATAGAGAGATCAAGCGGATACTTGAGAAGATAGTAGGACCTACTAGAAAAGATTGGTCGGACAAGTTAAATGACACTCTTTGGGCATATCATACTGCTTTTTGAACTCCAATTGGGATGTCCCTTTATCGCTTGGTATTTGGTAAAGCTTGCCACTTGCCTCTTGAGTTGGAACATAAAGTTTGGTGGGAAATTAAACAACTAAATATAGATTCTAAGCAAGCTGGTGCATCAAGGATTTTGCAATTGAATGAGTTAGAAGAGTTTAGATACCATGCTTTTGAAAGTGCAAAGTTATATAAAGAGAGGACTAAGCGATGGCATGACCAACATATCTTGCATCGAACTTTTAAGCCAGGACAACTAGTTCTTCTTTTCAATTCTAGACTAAGGTTGTTTCCTAGGAAGCTAAAATCTTGATGGTCCGGCCCTTTTAAAGTGTTATCTATAGCACCACATGGAGCAATTGAGGTTCTTGATAAAAGAATGGGTAAATCTTTTAAAGTTAATGGACAAAGATTGAAGCATTATTGGGGACGTGACATAGAGCGATTGAAGTCTGTTGTTTACTTGGTTGACCCACCTTGATGATCTGAGAGAGTCTAGCTGAAGACTATAAACCAAGCACTTTTTGGGAGGCAACCCAAGTTTATTCTTTATTTACTTGTGTTTTTGGTTTGTTTGTTTTCTTTATCTTTGGTTTGTTCTTCTTTTATTTTGGTGTGTTTGTAGGATTGTAGAGTTCTTAAAGAATTTATAAGCTTAAAGCTAAGTCTTAGAATCAAAGAATGGGCCAACAATATTTTGGGGGAGTATTCTATCATTGTGCTTAATTGATGATATTTATATGTCTTTATATAGGATCAAGACCTAGTGTTGATGAAATTCTGGATTGAAAGTTTTTAATTAAATGTTAGGAGGTGTGGAAGCGAGTTTGATATGATGATTGTGTTGATTGGGAAGTGTTTAGGCTATGTTTTTTTGTGAGTTTTTGCTTCATTTGCATAATTCTCTTAGATTTTGAGTATTTTTGTTCTTTGTTTTGTTCACCTCAGCAAAAGAGGATTTTTCCCCAGCAAAAGGTATCTCTGTGTTTTCATCAAAAATTCTAGAGAGCACCTTCGCTGCAGCAAAATACCATTTCGCTCTAGTGGTAGATGCCTCTGTGACTTTTCATCAAAAATCTAGAGAGCACCTTTGGTGTAGCAAAATCTCATTTCGCTCTAGTGGTAGATGCCTTTGTGACTTTTCATCAAAAATTCTAGAAAAGCACCTTAGTTGGAGTGAAACTTTGTTTTGCTGGAGCGAAAAACTATTCTGTGAAATGTTTAACTAACTTACAGAGAGCATCTTTGCTGGAGTGAAATTTTGCTTCATTGGAGCAAAATTTTTGGTTGAGTTAAAAAAATTTGTTTAATAAGAATAAATTTGTAAATATTTGTTAACCTTAAAAAAATCAAAAAAATTTCTTAACTATTATTTTATTACTACAAAATATTTTATTTTGAATAAAAATATTTTATAAAAAATTATATATATTATTTTAGTTTATTATTTTTATTTTACTAAAAAAATTCAAAAAAATACATTTATATATTCATATATTTTACTGATTATTTTACTTTATTTGCACTAAAAAAAAGTGCAGCTTCTGTTTTTTTATATAAATTTAAATAAATAATTTTTTTACAGTTTTACCCCTCTGTGCTCTTACCTTAGTTGTTTCTCTTTCACCTTCATCCTTCTTCATCCTTTAGCCGCAAAACTCAATCCTTCTTACCCAGTAGTGTGCTTCACCCCTGTCTGTAACTCATTCTTCTTACTCAGCCGTGTGCAACGTCCCTCCATCTTACCTGTCCCAGCTTTCTTCTCCACCGAGCATTAGCAATAGCTTC